ATGGCACGGGGCAGCCGAGGGGCACCGCAACGCGCCGCCGAGGGCAAGCCGTCCTCGCCGCCAAAACCGCCCGTTATCGACAGAGCCAAACCGATCCAGCAACACTGCCAAAGAAACACCCATCGCTTCCGGCGATGGGAAAAAAATAAGGCTCAAGTGCATCTATTAAAAAAATAGTAATAGATCTCTTGATTTATCATCTGTTAACTATCCCAGTAAAAGAAACTGTAGAAAAAGGCAATGTGGAGCCGTGTCCCTGCAGGATAAGAACTGCAGAAATCCTTAGCAGCTTGTTCTTAAAACCGGGACGCAGATAATCCTGCTGGCACTGATCCTGTACTCCGAGGCATTAAAAGCACAACTTCTGTTACTTCTGTTCCTTCCCCGTGGCTGGAGAGAACAGGGGAGGGGAGCACGATCCTAGAAGACGGGCAGCCTGGCAGATGTCGACGTGCAGGAGTTTATGTCCTCCGTGTGGGCGGCGCGATGCAGAGACGGCTCGGAAGCACTCCGGTTGATTTTGGGTAAAGAATGTTGCAACAATTCAATGGAGGACAGGATCTGAGGGAAGCACACAGGGAATGAACAGAGGGCTTGTTAGAGCTGCTGGCCTTTTCAAGGCGCAAACCCTCACCTGCTACGGCTTTAGGCAAATCTTTGAGAGTAACAGGGCAACGACGTGGAGGCACTGAAACCAGCACCCTGGGAACACCCCATCCCGTTTCACTGCTATGAGGAGTCCCAGTTCCAGAGGGTGGGAGGACACGTCATTAGCTGACAGACACTGCCATCCATTAACAAGCATCTACGCCGTTCTCCCAACAGAGTGACGGGGAAAGAATTGCATCCCCTAACCCTCTGCTTAGACAACAACGTTCAGGAAGAACTTTTTAAACAACTGAAGTTATACTTGACTGTAACTTTTCCAAAATCTGCTGCTGTTTACTGAATGTAAGAAAGTACCTTCATCATCCTCATAGTGACAGGAAAAGGTAAAGTATCCTTGGTAAAAATACCAAAAATTGCTACAGGGATTGAAATCCCCCAGCAGATTTTGTTTGCTTGTTCACCATTGTGGAGAAGGAAAGGAGGAATAGTCCCATTTCCCTGAACCCTGCCCCAAAATAACATGTAAATACAGAGATGGATTTGATTTTTGTTGTGTTAGGGGGGTTGCTTTCTGCTGCTCTCTAGAACAAGCCAGCTGCTGAAAGGTAACTGCTCCAGTGTTAGCCCAACACTGTTCACTCCGCAGGAAACACACTTACTTGTGGAAACAGAGGTCGTTCTTCCCGAACTTTCTTCAAACAATCTGCTACAAGCCTCTTCATTGCTTTGGGGCAGTTCTTGTACAATTTGCTGAGGTCTGGAGAGGCGTACCCTCGGCCAACCATGAAGATAATCTGAAAGGGAAGAAGCAGCCCATAGCAGAAAACCGAAGCTGTGAAAGCTGCTGCACTGGTTGAGAGCCGCAGTGTCCTGGGGCGATGGCACACGCGTGCCCAAGGCACACCCCCCAGCACAGCCTTCTAGATCCGTCCAAGTTAGTTAACCCAACAGCGGTCCTGCCGTAACGTTTTCAGACTTCGGTTACCTTAACAAAACAGGATTAATTGTGCTATTGTTTCTTTTTCAACTAGTGTTGTCTCCGGGTGAACAATATAATGTTGCTAAAATAAGGTCTCAGTGGTGTTCTCCAGGAAATCCTCTATCCCTCCCCAGAACACTTACTTGAGGAGCAAGTGTGGCATGTTTTACGACAGTAATGATTATGGAAAGCTTGCAGATAATGTCAATATTATGAATTAAAACTCATTCCAATATCCCAGTTTGCAGACCACCTTAAAAATAAGAAACAACTTTCTTAATGGAACTGGCCTCTCCTACTTGGAATACAGACTATATGTAGTGGAACAGGGTTAAAATCTAGCCCTCTGTCCCCACACACACGCACTGCTCGTTAGTACATCTTAATTTAAAAAAGCCCACACACACCACCACACCTGAGGACCAGCAAAGCAGAGAGATTGGCAGTCTGAATCCATGCTCTACAGACTGAGTTGGCTCTCTGCTTGCTAAGCCAGAAGAGAGAACCGTTGAGGGTTTGGGCCTTGATGTGCTGCTTTATAATGACTGCTTAACTGACTGGGTCCCACCACACACCCCACAGCTGAGGACCAGCAAAGCAGAGAGATCGGCAGTCTGAATCCATGCCCTACAGACCGAGTTGGCTCTGCTTGCTAAGCCAGAAGAGAGAACCGTTGAGGGTTTGGGCCTTGATGTGCTGCTTTATAATGACTGCTTAACTGACTGGGTCAGATCGCAGCTTGCCAAGGACTCACTGGCACAAACTGTCTTTCAATACTGACAAGTTTGACAATAGCCACGATTTTTTTTTCTCACTTAGCAAAAAACACAGAATCCAATCTTGCTGAAGTAAGAACAGCACGTTTAACATCAAAAAGGAAGTTTCACATAACCTCAGATACATAAACCATGTAGCAAAAACTTGTAAACACATCAACAGGGCACTTAAAGTGTTTACTTTTTTCCCTTGAGTAACTGTCACCGTCAGTATTTTAGCAAACATTCAATGACACAAACTTACTGCTGGAACAAACGGTGCTGTAAAGCACATTTCAATCCTTTGTTCTGCCTTTGCCTCACTGCGCCGTACGTGTCCCGAGGCCAACAAAACGTACCGTCCCCAGCAATAACACGCAGTATGCTAGTGCCTCCTACCTGATCTCGGTTGTTTATGTGGGAGTATGGCAGCTCTCCTGTCATCAGTTCATATAGCACTATTCCATAGGAGTAGACATCTGACTGAAAACTGAACGGGTTACTGTCCTGCATCCGTATCACTTCTGGTGCCTGTCGAAGAGAAAAGAAACTCGTGAAGAGCACTCACCAAAATGGAAAGCAGGGAGAGCAGGCTCAACCAAAAACTAGTGAAAAAGGGATACCTCAAGAGCCCTGAGGAGTTTCACCTAAGGCTCCAGAAACATTCAGTTAGTGCTACGCTACATGTTAAAGAAAAAAAAAAATATGGATACAATTGAGAGTAAACAAAACCCAACACTTTAACAAGTATTTCACCAGTAGAAAAATAACTACTATTCTGTTTTCCAACATCTTGCCTACAGCGGAGTCTGAGCCCCTCACTGTCAGTTCTTAAACAAGGATCAGTGTTAAAGGGGAAACACACAAAATGCTAATACGGACGTAATCGCTTGGAAAACCGATACCGAAACATTCACATGAAAGGCAAAAGCCAGCTGTGAAGTAGCTTATATGGAAGATACGGGAAGAAATGCAAGAGCGTTCCTGCATCTTCACAAAACAAAGCAAAATTACAAACCTAAAGAACTTAAAAGAAACCTCATTGACTGATTTAACAAAACAAGATAAAACCCACCAAAATATTGATGCTGCCTGCTGACTTAAGATTTCCCCACCCCCACCCCAGAAGTCCCTCAAAATTACTGAGCAAAGTACTAGTTAAAGTACAACAAAAACCCGGTAAGAGATTCTATCAGCTTGCAAAGAAACAGGCTCAAGCTCCCCTTCTACGTCCTGACAGCTCAGCAAAGATGGTCCATGAACAATTACAGTTTAAGAAACCTGCCAAGAGCAACAACGCAGCGTTTCTCCAAGCTCTGTTGCATGGAGATGAGTTTGCCATTAGGGAACTTCATTTTAAATCTTTTTATGGAAAGCTGTTAACAAGCTTTGGCTTTTTGGTTTTTGTGGTTTGGGGTTTTGTTTGTTT